ATTCTGGATGTCAATGGACGTTCAGATTATGGCCTGGACGGACGGACGTGATATCAACCTGTTTTGTATGTCCACAGACGTCGCTTGCTCAGTGGGTATATTCATCCCATAGTAGTCCTACGTCACCGGACTACTTCACGGTAGCCTACTTTAGACCGCGGTGGAAACGCAGGCAGCATGCATGTCTGGTGGGGAAAAAGTTCCTGGGACAAATTGTTACAGGTAATTTCGGTGAAAATGTAGCTTTTGTGTGTATGTGAAGTTATTGTGGTTTTTGATTCTTTAACACTTGGTTTCTTCTTGGATTTTTTTTTTTTTTTGCGTGACTAAAAAGCTGGAATTACATCCTCACCTCACCTCTTCCCTGCCTGAACATTACACACAGACCTTATTTCAGACATTTAACCAAAACCCATTGACTTTGGGATGATGGAACAGGAAGTGCTACAATTCTAACTCTGCTCTGTTTTTTTTATACTGGCATAACCTGCATGTCTACAAATCTATTTAAACAAATATATTAAAAACTGCAAATTATGATTTTTTTCTTTAATGTACAGTATGTGAACACGTAAACTGATTATGGGGTTCAATAATGCCCCTATGTTATTGCAAATGTTTATGGCCACGCATCATTTTTTACTTTAGTTAATTGAGACTGTTCTTCTGTCCACCTTTTTTCCATATTGTTGAAATGACACTCATATGGAGTTTTATTTTAATAATAAAGTTGAGATGAAATGCACATCTGATATCTTTAGAAAATGCTGTCTAAGATGATATTTAATTGTGGGTAAACCTTATCCTATCATTCTAATTTGACAAGGAATTTATTTTCTAGTTACTAAAAAAGTAGCATACTGCAGTTGAGAGTGGTAGACTGTTTCTTCCACACAGAGACAGTGTTTTTGTCCTGCGGCAACTGAGCATTTTTTGAAGACATTCTGCCAAGTGGATAAATTTGAAAATGCCATTTACAAAAAAAGATGATTTAAAGCTACAATCTGTCATTTATTTTTCGCCGCTAGGGGTCGCTAACCTCTTACAAAGGCATATATTGATGATGCAGTAAATGAGCATGGAATCATGGAACTTGTCTTCATGCCGATGAATCTAACGTTAATAATGTTTAAGGGGAAATAATGTTTATGGATGAGCGAATACATTCATGTTTTTTAACATGCTGTGGTATGAAGCAGGGCGCGATTGCTAATGAGAGACAGATCAGCGCCACATGCGACCGCGTCCCGTGGATATAAAGGAACGAGGACATTTCATTCTACCGAACTACCACAAGTGCTGAATTACTACTTAAACTGGTCATTTTATTTGACAAATTTAACTTAATGTGAGGTAACGCAGCACTGTTTCACTTGGTCTAGGTTACACTATCATACTAAACTGCATTTGAGTGAGTTGAAAGTTATAATGTTATTCTATGTGTTAGTTTGTTGGCTGTATGAGTCTAGCAGTAAGCTAGATCAACATTAGAATAATATACTGATCATATTCTAACATTTCATCATGTTGAGCTATATAACATTCATTCGTTTTATGTACAGTTGCTCACCTGTCTAATACATGCAAGAGCGGCGTCTCTGTCAAGTCGTGAAGCTCTGTCAAGTAGAAGTTTGTCGCGGATGTGGAGCTCTCTGCATCTTGAATATTGATCCTCATTTTATTTCTCCTTTTGTCTCGAAAGTCTGCTTGACATTGTCCATAATGTTTAAAAGAAACAACAACAGCGTGCCGCTAGACATTACGCAGTTGTCCACGTCTGTCGCCATGGTTACTATGGCAGAACAAGCGGAAACCAGGGATAACGCGGATATTACGTCATTGACAGGTGACAAGGGACGGGCACTATTTAAAATTGTGAATTACTCTGAATTTACAAATTCTTGGAAACATTTAGGATAATGTAAGTACACAATTTAAATAAATATATAACACTGTGCAAGTGGTTTTTGGATATTTCGAAACAAAATTTTTACATATTGTACCTTTAAGCATCTTCCGACATTTCAGTGTGGACGAGAAACTTTTGAAAAAACAAAGAAAACACTTGAAAAAGCTAGCATGGATGGAGAGCATTTTGAAGTGAAAACACCATTTTCAAATGTATCTGGATTAATAATAATAATAATAATAATAATAATAAGTTTATTTTATATAGCGCCTTTCTCAAACCCAAGGTCGCTTTACATAGTGTGAAGGCAAGTATACACAACAGCAACAACCAAAACAATACAACAAAGACAAGTTATCTGTATGAAGCTATGAGTTTTAGTAGACGCTAGTAGACGTAGCCTGGGAGTAGGAGTCCTGTCTTGCCTGTACTCGAGAAGGATGATGTGTGATTTCCAATGACAGTCTTCACTCCTATTGGTTACCACTCCTAAAAGCTCTTTATTTGCATTAAATTAAACTTTTATAAAGTTTCTGAAGCCCCTGGACAAGCCAAGTCGTGTTTTACCAGAAGTTGCCAGCTCTCATTCAAAATGAATAGATGATGTCCCTTTTGGAAGTTGCATATGTAGATGCGGCTTAATAGTTGTCGGTACCAAAGAGAGTCTTTGATGTACTTTTTTATTTGGAGCACATTTGCATGAACACCTGGCTGAGGGTGCAGCGACATTACTTGATGTATCTGTGAACAATCTATATCATCACTGGTGGGAGTTTTAACCAATGGCAAACCAGAAAGATGAGTAACAACTTCTCTCTCAGCAGGTAGTGACAAGGAAATGAACCCGGAATCTGTTCTGTCTCAGCTCAACACACAATCCTCTCCTGCGTGTCTCTTCACTCTCTTATATACTGTTGTGAACGATCGATTTAAACCTGCTCAAGGTGGCGGAATGAGTGATAGTACACAAGCTTGTGTGTTCAATCCCATGGCCACAGAGGTAAGCTGTGGGAACCCAGTATCTATTAATGAAATAGTGGAGGCAGTGAAATTGGCAGAGGCAACACAGCCCTTGGATCATGGGGACAGAGGCGCAACATTCTCCCAGGAGGGGCACTGAAAAAATGACTCCTGAATCCCAACTCTTGTACAGATAATTCACTGACTGCTGTGGGGCTGAGCAAAGAGTCGAAACAGACAAGAATTCCCATGAGGCCCAAGCATGGCTTGCAGATTGCATTCTTGACTACGACACCAACTATAGACTTAGGCAAGAAAATAATTTTAATGGACAGAGTTTTTTTTTATTCAATTTTAGATTTGGGAAGGTTTGTCAGCCAAGTCATAGTTGTTACAACCTGGATAAAACAGAACAAAAACTCGTCCCCATCACGTTTACACAGCGATATGCAATATGCGGCCATCATTTCAGGATGTGATTCTTGGGCCCTGGATGTTGGTCTTAAAAATCTACTGTTCCACTACTGGCCACACCCACCATGCAGCACGCTACACAAAGACATGCTTGGCCACCGTTTTGGGAGCCCAGCATGCAGAAAAAACTGCCCTATAGGATATGCTGGTATGCACAAGTACATCCAGTCAGTTGTTGTCACAAAATAAACCCTGACAGGGTAATCAGGTCTTTTGAAAATATATGTCATATAAAACTTGAAAATAGTATTTTTGTGCAATAAACAATAAACGTAAAATTCTGTAACATTTTTTAAACTTTTCACTTCAGAAATAATTTGCTAAGTATCGTCTTTGAAAAGAGATCAAACGAGATCAAAAGTTTGTGTTCTAAAGCATTCAAGATTTACAACAGTTTATGTTGGAAATTTAATTTTCAGGTCTATGCTCAAAAAGTGAATAAATGGATTATAACTACAGCATAAATATAATTTAGTACCATAAAATCCCCTAAAATACAAAATAATAAATACAAAACAGTATCGAGCAAAAATATAATACATTAATTTCATTTCATTGAAATAAATAAAAAAAATCGCAAAGAGCACCAAAGGGTGGGATAATGTGTATTACAGTAGGCCTATTAATACTGAAGTCATGTGGTTTAATTTATGGTGGATATAATCGATAACTAAGGTGCAAGATGGCACTAGCTGCATTTGGATGAAATAAGAGAGCACGTACGTGGTGTGATATAGGATACAATAAAGAAGTGCCGACCTCAAACACCCATATGAGCGGTCACTATACATTGTTGCTATTGACGATGTTTATTATCAGAGAATAATTGACCTCGGAGCTGACCAATCAGAATCAAACATTTCAGAGAGCCGTGTAATAGTGAAAGGTTTTTTTTTTGCCTTTATTGAAAAGGACACTCATTGAGAGATAGAAAGCAGTAGAAGAGAGAGAGGAACACAATTTAAGAGTTATTCCCTGTTAGTTTTTCCCTTCGCTGATTCATGACTGTGTTCAGATTTAATAAGGTTCAGTGTCATTGATGGATCTTGTCTGTGGAATAATATCTTACATCTGCAGCAAATGAGAACATCTTCAGCTAAGATTTTAATCTGTTTCTCACAACGCGCTATTTTACAACTTCAGAAGACTTTAAATATGGTGCATGGGTTGTATGTAAAACTTGGATACGTTTTTGTGTTTTTGTCCTTTTGGAGCTGGACAGACATGTTCACTATGATCTGTCATCATGGAAAAGTTCAGTTAAAATGATTTAAAAATGCCCTTTTTGTGTTCCACTGTAACCTAATGAACTTGAAAAATAATGACATAGGGGTTTAGAATGTCATGAAGGTAAGTACATAACATGGTTTCTCTTTAAACTGAATAGCATCTGGATCTCTAGGATGTCCTAAACAGAGCAGATTAGCTTCTAGGTGTAAACACTGCTTTGTTTCATACATTTGGCACTGCAAAGCAGGGTGATTTTAACACACATGTACACAGAGGTCAATAAAGGTCAATTAAATAAAACACACCAATAAAATCGTGTGTGTCAGAATCTAGCATGATACACAGCTAGAAAGAGAATATAAAGATATCCTTTTGTAAAAGTCCTTTTAAAAGAAAGACAAATATGAAAAATATGTCCATGATTTACCTTTACCTCACATTTCTTATGGCAGGACAACTTGCACACTGCAGGAAAAGGAAAGAAAAAAAATGCATTAAATGTGATCATAGAATTATTGAATTCAAAGTTCAATATACAATCATTTACTCTTACTGTACCAATTCACACTACAAAAGTGCTTTGTAAAGATGATCTGATCTTTGTTCTACAAGACAGGTGCAAATAGGCTATGGCTATTTGTACTATTTAATAGTACAAATATTCAGTTACTTCAATTTACACTTTATGTGAATGGCATGTCACTATTTGTATTTAATGCAAACAAGATGCTATTTGTTGCTATGTATGTTTGGTGCAAACAGCATTTACCACTATTTACACTGTAACACTATTTACAGTGAAAATAGCATGTCCCTTGCAAAAACATTTCTTTGCGGCTAACTTATGGGTACTTTGCGGCAAATCTGCAGCAACCTAAAAGCAGTGAGTTTCTCTGAGGTGAGGCAATTTTACTTCATAACAAATTATATAAATGACAAAAATATGAAAATAGCATGAACTTTATGTCAATAGATATGACTGAAGTTCTGCTAATGTGACAGTTCTTCAGATCTAGATGAATCATGTAAGTGATTTTTTTATTCAAAACAGCAAATTAGTTAAGTAACATCTATCTATCTATCTATCTATCTATCTATCTATCTATCTATCTATCTATCTATCTATCTATCTATCTATCTATCTATCTATCTATCTATCTATCTATCTATCTATCTATCTATCTATCTATCTATATCTCACTTGTGTGTCATATTTAATCTGTGTCCCTCTTTTCTCCAATACTTTATATTTACTTATGTAAGTGAGGTTTTCATTTCAATGACTGTAAATATGTTGCCTGCTGATGATGTTAGATGTGATTAGATGAATTGTCATGCTCATATTCTGTATCAGCTGTATATATAGATTGTTTAGAAACTCATTTATTTACCAGTTGATCCTGAAAGAGAATGAAGCCTGCCCCTGATACTGAAGTCATTGGCAGTCTTAAAAACATGGCTTGTAACAACTCTTGAGAGGTTCCAGCATGAAGGCCCAGGCTTCACCATTCACAAACTCATGGAGGGACTTTAAGAATCATGTGATCTGTATGGCAAGACATCAACAGCATTTAAGTTAAAATTAATAAAGTCTGAGCAATGAAATGAATAACACATGCTTAATGTTCCGTCACCCCATTATACAGTTTAGTTTCACTCTCTTTTTCAGTTCATTTTCAGATCATCTGAAAATGAAAGATGCAGATTTCAACAAAGAAGTGAACTCGTACCTGTAGGGGAGTAGTCATGCTTAATAGGATATGTGAATAAAAAACAAGTAAATGAATGAATTTATAGTGTTTAATGGCTGAGGTTATGATAATATTGTTGTTGTTTTTTAAAAATATTGATAAAATGTAATATTGATTGTTTATCTTGGTTATTTAATATTATGTATTGAATTAGAGCTAACCATTCCATTCAACCAAGTATTGCACATAGTGTTTGATTTTTTGTTGTTGTATTTGAATGTGTATTGTCAAGAGATAATTGTTTTATATATTCAAACCTTAAATGGTATAAAAAATACTTTGAATCTACACCAAAAAGTAGAAGCACTTGTATTACACTCATATTTACCATAGACTTGCCACAACTGTCTGCTGCAAAGTTGCTGCACACTGTTCGCCACAAAGCTCACATGTAAAAAATAAAATAAAAAATGAATTTGTGGCAATGTTCACCATAAGTTTGCCACAGGAGTTTGTCAGAACACTATATTTTTGCAAGGGATAGCTTCTCAGTGAACATCCTGACTGAAACCTCAAGTCTCAAATCATTATATAAATGCCATCAAGAAAAAAAAAGGAAAGACTGAGGAGGTCTCTAGAGCAGAAAGATCAGGAACTTTACTGATTGTGAAGTCAAAATTTTAAGAAAGGGAAAGAAGATGGCTAGCATGGTAGGCAGCAAGATGCCATTCAACATCGAGTCAAATAAATATTACTGATGCAGCAAGACAGAAATCATTTTTGTTAGTTAGAGACGCAGAATATACAGTATATGTATGTTACGCAAAGATGCTAAGGAAAATGCAATTATGGAAACAAATCAACAGAAATGCACAGAGAAAGAGGCTGGTCTGTGGAATATCCAACGACCACAGTGACCACAGGTTATTGTAAGAAACAGACCAATAGAGACAGCCAACAAGAATGTGAGGGATTTGCAGGCCCAAAATGCAGATACCCAAGTGCCATGAAGATGCACAAACGGTGGTGTAACCTGGCCCAAGCTAGAAGCAAAGAGGGGGTCAAAGCAAAACATGCTACAGATGTCGTGCTTAGCAGCAGCAGCAGTAGTGAGGGTGTCACTCATTAAGTAAAAATAAAATGACATAAATGTTTTAAAAAGACATACTGGAGGTATACAAGTCAAAAATGGAAGCTGCAGAGTTTAAAGGGGGAGCACAGTGCACAAGACAGACAAACAAGGAAAAGTGCAAAGATCACATCACATACAGTACATGGGAAACAGAAAAAAAGACTCACAGATGAAGTGAGGAACATATTGTAAGTTGCTCACAACACAACTCTATAATTTTAAACCTATGATAATAGAGCCAATGAATAACTCAGCACGCATAGTACCCATACTAAAGCCTGACAATTCAGTGAGACTATGTTGGGACTACAAGTTGACCACAAGCACCTCCAGACTCTTGCCACAGTACTGCCAAGACTTCAAAGAGCAGAGCTACGACTGAAGTGAGAAGCATATTAATGGGAATGGAGGAAATGTTCAAGGATACAAGGTGGACACTGGAGAGCTGAAGGTTCTGCCAAAATTTCTTCACAGTTCTAATTACAAGTGCAAATGGAGTGTTGAACAAGAGAATACATTTGAACAGGCAAAATAAATTATTCAGTCAGCAGAAGCCTTAGTCCACTATGAGCCCCAAAGAGAGCAGTTTAATTCCTCCTGACCGCCAGAGGCGGTGCTAAGCACTAGTGGATTTTCACAGCGCCAGCCAGATAGGTCAAGAGAATATAACAACAAACTCACGTCATGACAGTAACTCGGTGTAACCCAGTAACCCAGCCTCTTTCGCTTTCTCGCTCATGATAGATCGTTTATTCGCGCTGCCTAGTGCAGCTTAACAGAGTTGCGAAGATTTGCTCTCCAAAACTGTGACAGCGCACTCTATACTATCATCAGGACGGATTCTCATCTTTCTTCATTACGTGAGTGCATTTGATTTTTCGTGTCGGCGACACCCTGTGCTTCACGGTACTACCTGGTGGCTGGTATTTGATCACACTTTATTAGCATTTCCTCACAAAACGAATTTATTGTGGTTTACTTTTTATTGCATAATCACTGTCATGTGGGTTGTTGTATGCCACGCGGTGCTATCCGAAGGGCAGTTTTTGATTAAATTTACGTGTGATTCTGAGTGTTTGTCGCAATCATAAATCTTTCGGTCCTAACCGAAAATGTCATCTGTCGAGTAGGTTATTGTATGCCACACGGTACTATCCAAAGGCTCGGTTTTTTATCCATTTTACATGTGATTACGTGTGTGAGTGTTTGTCATAAATATTTAATCTACGATTGTTTTTTTCCGGGCTCATGTTTTTCACTGTTTGAGCTCCTACGGTACTAACAGACGACGTTGTGGTGTTTCCACCCTTTTACAACACACTCCATGTGGTGTACAACTAACACTAAAACTTTATTCTTCTCCTAAGCATTACTAAATTGATAAAGAGACAGGACAATACAAGTAGAATCACTAGGAGTACAGCAGGTAGGAATTGTTGGATTGATTTCCGTAGAACTACAGAAGGGCAAAGAGCCTTTTCTGTAAAGGGCTTCCAACTCTGGAACATGTTGCCAAATGAGTTTAAAGCCATATGTTAAATAAAGTATTTTACATTGAAGGTAAAGCGGTGGTTTAAAATAAATAAAAGTGGGGCAGGTGCCCGAGACAGTAGCAGCATTGGTGATATTTCCTGAAGAGGCAATGTACACTGCCCAAGTGCACAATGTGGATGTACTGACATATTATTGAAGAAGCCATATGAGTAATTAGCTTATATAACTCAAGCAAAGAATACCATCTACCAGCCTCTTCTTGACTTTAATTGACTTGGCCCTCAAATGTGGACCCTTCTGTGCCTCAGTTCCTACAAACTACTCAATTGCCTATGGGTCGTGTGACTTGTGAGCTAACAGCCCAGCAGTATGGCTTGCACAGGCACAGTTACCTGAAGATTGTAAAAAGACCCTGAGATAACTACAAATTGTAATGGGACATCTTTTTGGGCCCAATGTCTCTGAGGTATTAGAGAAAAGAATGAAACTGTCAGCCTTCATTCACCTTCATCCTCCCCACCACCACCAAGATGGTTCATTCCCCTCCATCCTCCCCACCACCACAAGGGTGGTCCCTTCCTATACCTCCCTGGGTGTCGGCTGTGCCCCTGCCTTCGTCTTCAGGCAGGAAATGCAGATTCCGTACCCTCGGAATGCGAGCTACAGACAGGGCCTACGCCAAAGAACTTTATATTATAATTCTGCTTGCTGAGCTGTTAATAAATGTATACTTGTTACAGTATTTATTCCCCCGAGTCTTTCTGGTAGAACTGTAACTCAGTGAATACTTACCACGCAGACATGAGAGAAATGTCTTTAGAAAGCTTGAAGTGCTATTTTTAAATGATACAATTCATAAAAACAAATATTCTCTGTTTAAGTAATCCGTATGAAACCAACGAGATGTACAGTTACTCAAGCTCTGCTCATTATCTCTAATGTGACCACACCCACGCGTGCACAAGCGATTCACATGCTAATCGTCCACGTGAAGGAACGCAAACCTGTAAACGCCCTCCATCACCTCAGAACAAAGCATCAAACTTCATCATTCCTCTGCTTTTCATCGAGTTTGGAAGACATGCTGTGAGTTTACCTTGGAATTACCTCAGAAGAAGAAGAACACGATTTGAAGATAAGCACAATTT